TTTTGTAAATGTATTTTGTGATTGTAATTTTTCTTTTTTTTTCTTATTATTTCGTTTACCCGCATTTAATTATTAAAACAACAATATACATTTTAATTTCCAATTAACATCTGTTTCACAGTAAAAATGCTTACAATGGTGAAGTCAGAAAATTGTTATCATAATTTTTATAATTTTAAGTTTCATACAAATCTGATATTTATTTTGAATGATAATAAAAATAAAATGATATTCACTGACTTCACCATACTATTTTCATGCATAAATGTTAACATGGGCTAGTGTTGACTTATAAATCCATTTACCTAACACCCTGTATAAATAGGTACTTGTAATTATTTAAAAAAAAAACACTATGTTTAAAAAAACACATTGTCCGTTTATTACTGTGGCACATTCGCGACACCCCCGACTTTTGCATGTCGAGCGCATACCGAGATTTGAATTTCGAAGGAAAGCTCGAGTTTCGTCCGTTTATATGAAGTTACAATACTGTATGATAGTATTACCGTGCCATTGGGTACTCCAGTTTTAATTTCAAGATCCATTCAATCCACATGTTACAATAACACGGTTGACGCGTGCGTGTCAATAGCAGCGCGTGCGCAGAACAAAGGCTAGTCTCGGGTGGCAGGTCGGTATTACAGCCCCATAAAACTGTGCAAATTTAAACCTTACTGCATTAACTTAATCTTACTTAGAAATGATAAGTTCTCTAGATTTCATATCCATTATGTGGAGAATGCTTTCAGAATGTCAACGTTACCAAAACGAGCAAGATGTCGTTGATGCCTCTACGACAAGCAGATTGGAATATCTTAAATTCTTCCTACATAAGAATTTAGGGCTCACTACCTTAATAATTGCTAACATTCGTAGCAAAAATGCGTAAAATATTATCTGGTATTTTAATGATTGTGTCCTAAACAGGCTGAATTCATAGACGTGGTAGTTATGATGACTAGATACTTTTTTTAGCCAGTTCATTTGGTTGGTAGGAAAAAATATTATTCCTATGAATTCCTTTCCTGTTCGAAGATGGATAATCCGAATGTATGTTCGAAAAAAATGAAGATGAACAATAGTACAAGTAGGTAAGTATCTGCAAACCCACATTCGCTTTGAGCACGAATATCTCCACTACAAATTAGGTAAGCGGCGCGATTCTCGTCAAAATCCTATGACCTACACGACTTCGATATTTGCAATTAACTTTAATTAAATTAATACAGCATCATGAACCGATCGTTGGATCATCAAAGATGGTGATACCTATCGGTTTAACCAACTGTGACGGTCGGAGACGAGACCACCCATCATTTAAATACGGGCACGACGATTAATCTGAGAGAATGTTATTGAGGAAGAATACAAGTTTAAAACATTGCATCACATAGTCACTAACGTTGCTATTTAAACGAAATTCGTTAATCTTAAACCCTGGATTGGAAAAAGGATCATTATTATCCTGTTTAAAAGATACAGGACACGAATATGATTTCGATCATTTCAATGCCGAACGTACGGCTGCAACTCCTGCTAGTCATACCGTCAAGAATGACTTACTTGATCGCCATTATTTTACTAGAAGTAGGTACTTGATATTGTGGTGACTGATGGAGGATTGCTGTCAGGCCCCTCTTCCCACTGGGCACTTTGGGCACGTGCCCAGGGCCCCGCGATCGAAAGGGGCCTTCGTCTGCTCAAAAGAACTTTTTCCAGATGATAAGGGCCCCCCTTGATCCTTAAGTGCCCAGGGCCCCTAGTAGGTTAAAGACTGCCCTGACTGTTGTGGACGCCCTCTGTCTCATCTAGGGGACATAGGATGATAAGTTCGCGTGGCGTCAGTATGGATGACCTTTCTACTTCATCTTTATGGTGGGAGGGCCCTGAATTCCTGAGTGATCACAGTTTTAGTTGTACAGAGATGCCAGTAGAACTTGATATTAGACTGAACCATACTAAATACAGACGAGGACATATCCCTGGTATCTTATGTAGTGCCATATTGCAACAAATACCCACCTACACTCAAATAACTATCTTATTACTTAACCAAACATATCCAATTAGACACTTACTAGTTAAATTATTTTTAAATGGCTGACCCCAATTCTGTAAATTTTTTTAGACCTAGGTATGTGACATGTCATTAAAATGTAATATTGATTTTATAAATAGTTAAGAATAGACAAAAATACAAAATTACACAAACAACAAATCAAGATTATAACAACAAATAAATGCAATAATAAATCATTAGGACAGCAAACTTTTGAGTGCTGTGTGTGCAAAGTAGGTCAATCTTTTGTACTATGTGCAAAATTTCAAATAGATAGCCCTTACGCAAGATATTGTTCTGCCCACACAACTTTTTTGTTATTGTAACACCCACATACAGAACCCATCATATTGACAATAAACTTATGAGCACAATGGTGATGTTAAATTGGTTGATTAACTCTTAATCAGATGTGTGAGAAGTAAATTATTCAAAAAATGTGTATAATCTTACATGGAATAAATTATTAAAATAATAATACAGTCTACTGTATTTTTCTATGTCTACAATGTCACAACAAAAAGTATACAAGTTTTTTAATGGATATTAGTAACAATTTTAATTTTGACATGTTCCTCATATCCATCCGCTTGTGTACCTTTGTATAGTTTTGAATATACGTCATAATTATATGAACAAACAATAATGGGTCATTCCATCGTTTCGGGTGTTACGTTCGTACACACATATTCAACAATTTCATGTATTTTGAAATAGTATTTTAATAATGTTAGTGCCTTAATCTGTCTGTTTTTATTTGTTTTATCTAAATAATAAAGTTTGTACAGCTTAAAATGTAGGATAACGAAAATATGAGTCGAAAAGTGTGCGTTTCGGGCGTTACGAGATTTTGCCTCTATGTTCTGACTGTTGCTGCATTTACTCGAAATTTAGCGAATTTTCTTAAGGAATCATACCTAAAACTTACAGGACTTCTAAAGTATGAATTTTACAAACCATGTAATATACAATCACTGTTACATAAAACGTTTTACTATTTTTTTATAAATTTTTTCTTTGTTTCGGGTGTTACAGTGGTTCTGTTTCGGGTGTTACGAGTACGAAAATTCAACGCTTTTTATCGATAAAATCGGTGTTTTATTAGTTTCTAGGTACTAAAAAATAAGGAGTACAACAAATAAACACAAATAGAGCGAATTCTGGTTTGAAATTACGAAGCAGCTTTTTTTAAAAAAATATACAAAGTTCAAGTTTAATTTTTCCTCAAAATATAGCTTTTTCTATTGTTTTTGGCTTGAAATAGCATTACTTTAATTTCTAATTACGATATTTATTGGAAATGTCGAAAATCGAGACTTTTTAGCAATACCTTAATTTTAGTGTTAAGTCAACATTTCAAAAAAGTCTTAAATAGAGAAATATGACTCCTTTTCCGATGCCAGCGCTAGAGGGAGGTGGAAGGACCCTCACAGTAATACTTTTTGACGTCTCCAAGCAATATACACACATTATCGACAGTAAATAAAAATGTGATACCCGAAACGTTTCGGGTGTTACAGTTTTTAATCAAGAAAAAAAGACACATAATTAGTATCATGCTCAGATATTAGTTAGTATTTGAAATCATTACTACCATAACCTTACTTTTACCAAATATTGTTATCCTAATCCATGTGTAAGGTACAATAATAAAGCAAATACCTGTATTTTTGTTTCGGGTGTTACATCGCCGAAGTAACAAGAAAACACACTTAAAACTTGATGATTATCAATTTTTTTGGGACTATGACGCTATCTACCAATACTATGATAAATACCCTCAAATCATATAGTAGCAAAACGGTTCACAGATTGATAGTTTTTTTTAAATCGAATTACTAATAATTAGAGAGAAAATGATCATTCAGACAGTTGACTTAAGTATAGACTTTGAAGACTAATAACTTAAAAATTACTTGTTTCTTTCAGATTTTTTTTGTTGCACATTATAATTTGGAATGTTTACTTTCAAAATTCATCAGATTTAATGCGAAAAGAACATATTTAGTTTTTCACCCTCGGTAACATTTGTCATGGAATGACCCTAATAGCAATACAACACAACAGAATATAATATGAGAATTTATAAAACTGAGTATTTTAGTACAGTACTCCGACCAAAAAGTCTTACAGAATATCCTGCAAAAATAACTGACGTCATATCCCAAATGCTTGTGGGATTACTGCAAGTCTATCATTCTAACCAAAACCAGTTCTAAAGAAGCAGACTTTGTGAGAGGTTGCAGGATGATTATTGGACACATCACTTATCTGTAGTAAGTCCAGAATTGCAAAGAGCTGAGAAAAATCAGGGAGGCCTTCACCCTATTGCAGAATTTATAAAGAAGACACAAAAAGCTTAAACTTAATAAGCATCGTACAGCACGTAATTAAAAAGTTTTCTATCAACACTAGGTTTGACTTTATAATTATGAATATCTCTTTTATTTAGCATTGCACAACAAGTATGATTAACGGACTAATATTTAGAGCTAAAAATAAGTACAAAAAATAAACATGAAGATGTTTACAGTAGTATCAGTCCAGTCCTAAAGACTAGCAGTAAGAAGCAAGCAGTCAATTTTATAATGCTAGTTGCGCGTAAGGTTGTGCAGAGCCCATGACATGAGTCCGAAAAAGTATTTATTAATAAATAAATAAATATGCCTGATAACTAACTCAATGGGTTGGGATTCCGACAGATACAATATAAAAAAGGATTTTGTTTAAGCTTGTTTGTATTCAACTTCTAGGATAGCAAACAGTGATAAAAACTAAAAAATATCATCATTAAAACTTATAGACTAATCAAATTCTAATAGGATTTTACACAATCAATAAGAGAAAAAGTTGAACTCGGCAGACACAAATAGATTATTCTTAGGTAGGTAAATGTTTATAGCATGCTTCATAAAGTGATTATAATAAAGTAACTTACCATTAGAACTTTTCAGGTCCCGATGTATGAGTGACATGGGGGCACCAACATGTAAGTATGCCATGCCTTGTGCCACTTGGATGGCCCAGTCCACAAGTATGCCGGGGCGAATCTTGCGCCCTGACAACACTCGGTTTAATGGTCCACCTCGGGCATACTCCATCACCAAACACAAATTGGGCTCCTCCAAACACACACCCTTCAACGACACTATATTCTCATGCTGTAACACCCAGAACAGTCTCGCTTCCTGCAACACACTCTCTTTTATAACTTCGATGTCTTCGTTCGCGTCCTGTCGGGCCGCTTTGACCGCCACGACCTCATCGTTCCAGTAACCGCGGTAAACTTTGCCGAATCCACCCACTCCGATCACTTCCTCCAACTTTAATTCACTGAACGACACTCGCGGGGGCTCCACAGCCAGCGGATCTTCTTCGGTAACGTACACCGCGGGGAATATACCGACGCGATCACCTATTTTGCCTGTCCACCAGCCCTCGTCGCCGGATATGTTCGCGTCTTTGGAGAGGACCTCGACGATCTCACCGCGCCGGAGGGAGAGCTCGTCCTCTCCCTGTGCGACGTAGTCGTAGACAGCGGTAAATAGAGCGAACGGCGGGCGTTCATCCTCGGCCGCCATGGCCGCGCGGCCGGCCGCAGGCCGCGGCGGCATCACCCCGGCCGCGCCCCCATCGCGCCTCTCCTCCTCACTCAAGCGCCCCGACACTGCTGCAGCCTCCACCCACCACCGTACATAACGCTACACAACAACGCGTTTGGTTATGATCACCGTATTATTCCGCCATCTTTGTTTCTTACATCGATCATGGCTATGTTGTATCAAAGTTTACACCACCAAAAATTCACTATTTTATTTGCTCGAGCACGACGACGGGTTTCGTTTAATTCAACACTGATATTCGCTGCGACAAAGTTAATTATTTCCCATTCATCTATCACAATTACTGATAGACGGACGAAATGACAACCATACTACAGCGAAGTCAGTGACAAACTGTCATTAAATGTTGCAAGAAATTAATCCAAAAATTTCTACTATTACTTTGTAGATTTTTGTAAACACAGGTTTTTTATTTATAAATTAAATGCTAATTGAACAAAGTATATCTTTTTATAATAAATATTACAGATTTTTTTAATTATAAACCTTATCAAACATGTATCTGTTACATGTTACTTTATGACTGTAACTTTCCTCAAGAAACGAAAATTTTATCTAAAGCTATTTTGATAAACTTATCATAAAAAAGGTTGTTGATTATCGACAAAATAAATTGAGAAACAAATTATCGAATATTAAAAATTATCGGAAATATTTTTTATGCTTGCAACACTAATTAGTTTGTAGTTTCTACTGTTACCGAGAGATGGCAGGGCAATACAATTCATTTTACTGAGAGTCCACAAAAATTTTGATAGTCGGCAAAAAGAGAAACTAAAAATGTATTTATAAAGTAAATAAATACTAAAATAATGGACTTCAGCAGTACTTCATGTATTTTGTCAAATTTTTTTTTTCACATTTTATAAAATAAACTTACCTTCAGCTTATAAAATAATAACATTTATAAAACAGTAGTAGTAGTGACTACCAAGTCAGCGCAGCGCCCCCCTTGACTCGGTAATAAGTTGGCGGCTCTGTAGGTACATTGACCTACGAGTCACAAGCACGCACACTGCCATCTAGTGTTGTGTTTGAGAATTTAATATTATTATGAACATGGGTACTCTAGTTAGGATTGGCTTTAATTTTCGATAAATGACACGGGATACAAAATATTTAATTGCATTTAGGGAGAATAAAATGTTTACAATAATATTTTCATCTATTTATTGTTAATCAAAGATCAAACAAAATCTATACTATTATTTCACCCAGGCAGACAAGAGGTCCCATGGTGTAATGGTTAGCACTCTGGACTTTGAATCCAGCGATCCGAGTTCAAATCTCGGTGGGACCTACATGAAAAACTTTTTTTGCAGTTTTTGTGTAATTACATTTTTTTATTTATCGCTGTAATAAAATTAAAGTATCATTCGTTTTTGCCTAGTAACGCCGAAGAAAACTTTCAAAATGTTATCGTGAGCGCGAGCTTACTCTGTGGGAGTCTGAAGGGAAGCTGGGTAGGGAGCATTATTGATCGCGCGAAAATGGGATGGTCGTATCCATTCGCGGCGAACACCCAGCCCGCGGACGTGGGACCCGTTTACAATTTTCAAAACACGCTTAAAACGCCTTAAACAGTAGTTTAATAAAGCAAAATATCACACCAAAAGCTCGGGCGACAAGCACAATAAATAAAACAAGCTGAAAAACCACCGTGCCAACGAAAAACAGTGAAAACCCACCGCGCGAATATTAAACAGCATAAAAATGTGACATGCAGTGAAAAAAACCTTATGAAAATCCATGAATACTTCCAAAATACGCTTAAATGAAACCATACAAAACTACAAAATACTGTAAGGACCTCAACAAATTGTGATAAGAATTTAATCAGATGTCTTTTCGTATTTTCGTTTCTGGCGTGTTCGAGTGGAAGGAATGATGGCAGATTTATTTTCACCGGGTTAGTTTCCAGATTATGAGTGGTTTGGTGTACAAAATGTTCCGATTTAGTAGTATCTTGAAGGATAAGTTTTGCCTAAAGTGGTGCTGGCGAAAACGCTGGCCAGGAGTGAAGAAAAATGGAGTCACATCGTGTGAATTACGTTCAATAAGTATTTTTTCTTAGCTGGTTCAGTGTTTAGATAATACTCTGTAGTAGATAAGGTACATAGAAAAATAATAAAAATGAACACGTTCAACGCTCCGACTACGCAAATTAACGCGATCGACAAAATGACAACAGTGAAATGTAAATCCGTAGACTTGGAAGGATATGTTATTATAGTGGTACAGACGAAGGATAATAAAGTAAAATTGTACGGTAAGTGGTGTTTAAAATTTTTAATTAATTATTCAGTAATTCAGTTTCAGATAGTCATCTAAATCAGAGTTCTAACCTCGACACGTCCTCTCGAAATCTGGTTCAAGATAAAGCTTAAAAAATTGCAAATGTAGAGTTCTATAAATTAATCGTAATGCCGATTCTGTCATGATTTTCATTTATGTAACTTTTTCAATTTTGTTCTATCTCAGAGAAGATTTTCGCCTGACATGACGTATTTCTCAAAAATAGATAGAGGGAGAGAGCATTCTTTTTATATGTATAAGTATTTCTTATTTTTTAGGGTCACCATCTGCAGGCAATTGGGACAATCTGGAACTGGCAGACGAAATCATGGACGTGAATGAAACCAGGCTGGAGGATATGACCAGGGCTGAAGTCCTGGGCCATATTCATGAGGTTAGTATAACTTTTACAAGTAATTACTAGTAATTTTCAGTTTTTACGAGGCTGAATTGGTTTGCCCATCAGTCTTAACCCAAAGTGCACATAAACATAGTACGAGTAGACTATGACATAAACTAATAGCTGTGGTAGGTACCTATCTAAGTAGAGAACCTACAGTTGGTACTTGGTAGAGCAGTAATCAATAATACGTTACCAATTTATTTTGTCAGTTAACAATAATAATAGTCTGTTTCTGCCGGAAATCTACACTAACCAGGTTATATGTGGGTTATTTTAACACATATTATACTTAAGTGGAAATTATTGCATTAATTCTAATTTAAGCGGTTTCAATAAGTGACTCTACATTTTAAAAGTCTTATCTATAATATAGATAATACTAGCGGCCGCCCGCGACTTCGTACGCGTGAATCCCGTTTTTTCCCGCTAATTCCCGTTCCCGTGGGAATTTCGGAAATTCCTTTCTTAGTGCACCTCTACGGTACCTAAGCTACGTTCCTTCCAAATTTCAAGTGCCTACGTTTAGCCGTTTAGGCTGTGCGTTGATCTGTCAGTCAGTCAGTCAGTTTCTCCTTTTATATATTTATAAGATAAGAAGATTCTAATCCATTCACTGACTCTTCAATCTGATTGATCAACATCGCAGTCGAAAATAGAGAGGAGTGATTAACAGGCTGCCTGTCCACCAAAGTTGTGATTTGTACGAGATAAAATCAATACATTTATAGCTCTCTTAGTTCAGGTGGAACTAGTAGATAGATAAATAATGATGATAATTTGATAATTATACAAAATACATAAGCTGTGAGATATGAGCGGGTAATGTGAAGATTTGCGTGAAGAGCCTGGATGCGGGCAGCGCAGGACCGTACATTGTGGAAACCTTGGGGGAGGCCTTTGTCCAGCAGTGGACGTCATTTGGCTGAAACGAACGAATGTGAAGATTTAAAAAAAGGCGATGTAGTAGCAAGTTTAGGTGAGAAGATTTCGCTACGCATCCTCGCTCTCCTCTGCTATACACGTTCCACAGTTATGCATCCTTGAGCCGCTCAGCTTCTACACTTAGAAAATACTTAGGTCTCTTTCCACGTTACGGACGTAGGCAAATCAAGTTAATGCAACAAAAAAGTATGGCCTGATATGTTGTCGATAGTAACCTACATTTTACTCACACATCAATGGCGGAAAAGCAGCCAATAGCCGAGTTGTGAAATGACCAACGTCTCCGTTGCACCGCGCCTCAATAAACTAATAGCAGACGGAATGATTTGTCCGGGGACTTGGAAGGACTAACGTTAATTGGGATTTAGTAATTGGACTACAACAGTCCGATATCATCTAATCGAATTGAATCAGCGGAGGGGATGGGTCAGTGACTCCAATTTGGGAGAAGCGTTATGATTCCCGAAACTTTTCTCCCGCTGTCTCTACAGGACAGGGCTGTCATATTTTTTGGAAGACCAAAAGGAGAATAGATTTAGAATGTTAATTAAAAAAAAGTGTTTAGGTAATGATTATTATGTATCGGTTATTTGGTGTACTTTGCGATTTGGACTGACTGGAAGCTTTGAGAAAGCTTTTAGTTTGGAACTAAATAGCGTCGTATAAAATGTCTAGTAATTCGATTCCAAGAGTAATAATATCAATTTACACAAATAATTTTTCAATTCCAATTTTCCTGGATTTATGTAGACTTTCCTATTGGTTGGTTACCATGTAAAAATGAGGGGTTACTTTTTCCGTGAACTTATTTTATTGCTTTCCAAACTTTGAAATATGCACTGCTAAACCAATTCACAGTGGTTGTCATCCCTGCAGAATATATTGTCAGTCATCGATTGTAACGGTAGCGTTCGCGTTCGTACATTCGCAGCCGAACGAAAACGAACATTCTAATGTACTTTTTGTTGCAGTGTATCTCGTCGTGCGTCATCAAACTACGGGTGAAGAGGCGGAGCGAGACTAAACTATGTAAGTTATATTTGCATTACTGTTATTCTTACACTCTGTTACAGTCAGCGTCAAATAATTCGTGACACCCTGTGTAGCCAAAAAGTTCGCAACACGTTTTTGTTATCAATTGATATAAGGTTGTGTTGTCTTGGCCACTTTGGGTGTCACGACGAACTATTTGATGCTGCTGTGTACAATATATGCGCAAATTTCATGTCAAGCTTGCAACCATAAGATTTCAAGTGATTCCTCAAAAAACTCTACTTTTTTAAGGTGTCGTAGTGTACTACTAGAATTCAAAACATAATTTGAAGAAAGCCTTCATTTTTGATCTGATTCGGTTAGTAGAGTAGGTAAGCATTTCACGCACCAGATATACCTAGTAAAAACTATATGTTTTTCTTCCCATTAAACAAATTAAATATCGTTTGAGTAACAACTCAATAACAACTCTTTCTTTTAAAATCTAGTTTCAGTTAAGACCTTATAAAATAAAATAATGCTTATTATAAACTCTAAGGGAAATGACTCTATTAATCCAATTTTTCTGGTGATTCTCTATAAACTATGAGGCTAAATGCTAAATCTTTCACTCTACTATATCAACTAACTTTAAAATTGGTGTTTCTTTTCTAAAGTGCTTCTCCAATCTTTTTATGAATGAAAGTTATTATGAATGTAGTTATTTATCATCTAGTGAAATCTATCTAAGATGGACACCATTGTATGGAGATTGGAGTGGTTGTTAGTTAATCTTGTTCGTTTTAGCTGTGGCTTTACTCTCAGTACAGTTTGTTAAGGCAATTTATACATGTCTACATCAATCATCTATACTGTATATCAGTTAGAGTTCTTTTGACCCTATTTTGTGGAATTCTGGTTTATTGTTTTTTGTTGAATAAATCCCGCCACTATTGTAAGTAGTTAAAGCTCTTTACATATTCATCATTATCATTTCAGCCATAAGACCACTGTTGAACATAGGCCAATGTTCAGCAGTGGTTCCCCAATGCTTTCCATGTTGATCGATTGGTAGCGGCCAGCGCTTTCTGCTACCTTTATGATGTCGTCGGTCCACCTTTACATATTCAGATTAAAGTAATCTTAAAGTAGGGGTTCTGATAACACCACCAGTCAATTGAGATAAGTACTTTTTTGAGCTGACAAAACGCGACTCTCTCAATGAAATGGCATAGGAAACCTATTATGACATTACTCGTTCGCAAATCAATGTATTTATGTGAATTATTTAAAAAGGATATCAGCATAAAATAGATAATTAGTTAGTAAACCATGGCTAGCGAATATGAATCAATCAGCAATTTTCATCATTCTGGACGGCTGTAAATGAATTACAAATATTCTGATGTATTATCACTATCAAGTTTGATGTCAACAAACGATTTACCAATCGCGTTTCATTTGTTGTTTCCCGACCGCGATTTAATTTCATAATAAACGGCGTTATAATTTTACGAGAGTGAAATACTTTGGTCATTTGAACTTAAATTAGTCGGAAAATTAGCTCAATGCAATTTCATAGAGGTTGAATTTCCACTTTTCCAGTTACAAATCATTCAGCGATTGTCGTACATTTTAGGGGAATATTCGAGATAATTTACATTGATGAATTGGTTTGGAAATTTTCAGTTCAATTTAAAATCTACATGATGTTAAATGAGATTTTATTTTCGGTCTCTATGACTGCAGTCTCGTTTTGAAGCAAGTCCGAGTGGCTTCCCCATAGATACTTACTTTAAGGTGAATATAGACTATACTATAGCATTTACTTGTCTTGTAACAGATCAACGAGCGCTCATATAAAGGCTCTACTTTTTTTGAAATTACTCTACTGAAAGCTCAAATTGGCGCAACTTTCGTGAAAACAGAGGTAAAAGTACTTGTACAGTACTCCACGATTGAAAATGCGCTTATAAAACCACCAATGTTTGTTAGTTTGACAAGGTTGTAGAGTCATTGAATTTTGTGCTGTCGTTAGGACGTTGTTACAGTACGTCGGAGGTGCTAGTGAGTCACGTTGGATGGTTTGAACGCGCCCGCGACGTTTCGCTCGGACATGGCAGCCTTTGAGGTTATATTCTGGCAGTGTTGCTGCGTTCAGACTTTACCATCAATATCAGTACCTAATTTTATTACCTACTAGCTGACCCGGCGAACTTCGTACCGCCTTAGCGTAGAGATTTTCTTAATATTTTTTTCCGTAAGAACCATCCTTGGACTTCCACAAACATTTAAAAAAAAGAATTATCGAAATCGGTTCAGCCGTTCACACGTGATGCCGTGACAACGCGAAACGGGTTTCATTTTTATATATATAGACTTCTATTTCTTATGTTCCATTTCTGATCCCTAGTTTGGGACTCTAGAGACAGAACTCTACAAAGTAGTAAGTAACCTTTGCTGGTCACTTCTAGTTCATTTTAGTTTTTAAAAATATTATAACTAATGTTTTTTAGTTATCATAATTATCCGCATCAGATTAAATCAGAATTTGATTTTTTCAAAAGACAAGTCGTGTTGTACACCGTCAAGAGATACGACTATGAAGCTCTACCTACATTTTTCTTCTACTAATGTGCTTGTGTTTGAATTATTTAAATAATAAAAATACTTACATACATGCACAAATTGTATTTTGTGATACGTTAGTTTACAAACACATACAACTTTACATCTATAAATTAGTCTATTTTTATCATAGAACATAACTTTCAGTGATTTTCCTAGTATGTAACTTTTCGGTGATGCTACAGTACCAACATTGTATAAGATTACTAACGTGTTGAAGGTTTACCTACACTGTTTCAACATGGATCTGAGGAGCGTTCAGGTTAAATGGCAGTTTACCTGTTGAGATCCAATTCCATGGGTTACTGGATTCCGTGTTCAATATGCAAATTCTGGTGTTCCGGGATACGGGTTACAAAGTGGCTTAGGGGAGATCATTGTCTTTGTCTAGGTAGATGTAGAGATAATACTTTTTGTTTTTCATCCACAACGAGGAAGCTCTTGGCCTGTATCTCACCTGATAGTAAGTGATGATCAGGCCGAAGGTGGAAGCGAGCTTCACCCGGAATCCTCAACCACGGAGGAACTGGCTATCTTACCTCTAACTGCCGGAACACAACAATGCTGTTAACATTGAAAATGAGAAAATATGTATACAGGGTGTTAGGTAAATGGGTATATTAGCCGACACTAGCCCATGTTAACATATGCATATAAATGGTATGCTGAAGTCAGAAATTTGATATCATCATTTAAATTTTTAAAATTTTCATACAAAATAAATTTTATAAAATCCGATTTATATGAAAATTAAAATAATTAAAATGAAGATATCAATTTTCTGACTTCACCATACCATTTATATGCCCATGTTAACATAGGCTAGTGTCGGCTCATATACCCATTTACCTAACACCCTGTATACCTACTTAGTTTTGAAAATTAGAAAATATGAACTAGGATCAGTATTGTCAGCCAATTAAAATCCATAACGTAATTAATATTAAGTAGATAGGTTCCTAAGATGTTTATGCATTTAGCATAATACGATGTTTTCGGTCCATACCTACCTTTGGGACCTCTTCCATTGAAGTAACGAAAAATTTAGCATTACCTTTTAAGCCCGCATTAAAGACCAGAAAATAACGAAAGGTAATGAATAACCATCACGCGGCAACACAGCGCAAGACTCGCGTGCGAGAGAGAGGGAAAACAGGTTTGCGAGTTGCCGCGAGCCTCCGTTCGTACTTGCTGTGTTTTCAACTTCGTCCAACATTATTTAACAACAATTACCCGTGTATTCGGTATCTGAAAACTGTGTTTGAGGAATACAATACCCGTTGAATTATTCGTGGACTGTGATCAGTGTGATAGTGTTGTTTGATGTGGAAAGTGATTGGTCATTCTTTCTGGTTCTGACAGACAGAGGTGAGTGAACTTGGGCCGCGGCAAGGCTTTTGCCCTTTTCCACTCCTAGTGGACCTCCGGTTTGCCTTGATGCTGGGATGGAATGATAAAACAATTCGCCGGCCGGTTTCAGTGAAATCGTTAAAAATAAAATAAATAAAACTAAGCGCGCAAAGAATTGTGATTCGAAATAAGAACTCTACGCGTCAAAACTTTTGATAAGTTTTAAAAAAGTAAAAACTTTTTTTATTCAACCTCTTTTTGTCAAAGTTTTCATTTCTTGCTCTTTGTTTTTTTGCGAAATTGTTAGTTTTTTTGCGTAATGAACTACTGACATTGGATTCATTAAATTAATTAAAACTATCCAACGGTTACAAAGCGCTAAGGACTGGTTTCTATTGGGTTTTCCATATGAGGCGGAATTATTGGAAGGCCATAGTAAAATGAACTTAATTAGTAATATGAATGAGTAAGATTGGATTTCACATGAACTCTACAGGAAATTGAATAAGTAAAAGGTTTTTCTAATTACCACACATTACTGGCTGTATAGTGGAGAGAGTATCTCTTTAGATACTTTTACCATTGCGATCTTATTATACAAGCAGCGCCATCTCTTATGGGGCGGAGAAAGTTGCATCAAATTATAATTTTTATTACACGTGAATTTAATAGCAAGTGCTTAAATAATGAAAGGCGATTTAAATGCACTTACGATCAAAACGCGAAGAAAATTTAACTGAGGTCACAAATAAAGGACAGTAGAAAAGTTAGTTTAATAAAAGTAGGCAATATAAATTATGCACACATTAAGAAATTAGTTTACATTTACATTACAAGTAGAGTATAAAAAATGTGTCATTAAGTTCATTATCCGATTGATTAATTTCGCAGCAAGTATTACGCTCTACATTTTAAACCATGCATTTAATTCTACAAATACTACGGTTAATTTGTATTCGTTAATTTGATTTCTCATTCGTATTTACTAACAATCAATTGTTTTAACTAATAATAACTAACATCGCGCTAATGTGGTAAATACGACAAATAAATACATTATTCACAGATAAGAAATTATT